ATGATAATTACTGATATGTTCCTAATTATGCATTTCGGAGCCTTTATGTCATGTCTACGGAATGCTGGTGGGGGAGGGGGGAGTATTGAGACAGAAGATAGGAGGGGAGGGGCGGGGGAGGGGGGAGGGGGGGGGGGGGAAGTCGTATCAGGCGCTTGTGTACCACACCTCTTGCTCGACTCAGGACATAAACTCCCTGATGCTAACGAAACTGTGAAAACGTGTAAGCTGGGGCGATTATCGCTCTCGTTGGAGAAACTGCGTAAGCGCTGCTGAGCGGATTAAGACAATCTGCATAGAGAATACGTTTCGAAAAATCTAGTAATTAATCATCTGTACTACACAGGATTTGCAGGTGGGTCTAGATAATGGAAAGAACTCCTGCATCGATCTGATATCTGATATTTATCCAAAATTTATGAATGCATTGTACTACCAAGGTATTCGTGGACAACAAATGCGATTCTATGATATATTTGCAAACCCTTAGTTCGTAAGAAAGGCCAGAAACGATGTAATCGGATCCAATATCCTCAATGATACTGTCGCAGAGGTCACACTGTTGAACAGTGGGTGATGAACGTTTATGAAAATGTTTCCTTCACAAACAGAGCTAAGAAAGGAATCTAAAAGCAGCACTGATAGCGAATGTTTACAGATACCATATTTGATAACCCAAAGGGAACCATCTCAGACAGCCTTCGGCAGGACATTGAGAAAAGCTACGCCGGGTCACCTGCAGAATTCGTAGGTTCTCCGTAAATTCCGCACGTCATCCGGAACTTCCGAAAGAGTGCAGTTCCCCGAAACCTCTGCAGCCATAGTTTTCGGGACTTTTGCGCTGTGATTCTTCGGTACTTCAACAGATCTTGTTATTCCCCATGCAGTTGGAGATCCTCTTGCGTACTATTATAAAAAGCACTAATCAAGAACATCTATTTACTTAGGGCAAAAAATGACATTTACACACTCAACTACAAATATATGGTAATATATACACCTCGATAATTATCACCTAATTACAAAAGTGGTCAAGTCTGACTTGACACCCGAAAACCATGGGTGCGATAGGAGGAGCCGGGCCCTCTCCAGGGGAAGGGGGTCTCTGCTACTCCCATCCTTGTAAGGTGAAGGGGGTAAGTGAGCCCTGAAAGCGAAATGCCCCAACTAGTTACATACCTTTCGAAAGCTGAAGTCATATAGAATCGAAATAGACCATCCAATTTTTTCTAGGTCTTGTGTGCCGCGAGATATGAGGCATTTTATATGCTTTATATATCAACTGATTTTGTGTCCTCTCGGTAGAGGGAGGGGGGGGGGCTAGAAAGAAGTCGACGGTCTCGTCGAATCCCCTTTTCCTGAGTTTTCGAATGGTACATGGATTGCTGGGCAAAACTTGCCAGTTTCTAAAAATGGGGTGGAGATATTTACTATTAGGTTGCTCCCCCCCCCCCCCCTAATGTATTGGCTTTTATCGGTCATAGGAGCAAGTGCTTTTTGGAGCCGGGAAGCAAATAAGCCCTAACATGCTTTATCCCATTGGATGGCTGAGAACACGAGAAATCGACTTAGACCATCCCTTTTTTCATAGCTTCTCTGTGAAACCAGATACGAGCAATTTTATACGCTCACTCACGAGCTAATTTTGTGTAATTATTTTGTACTTCATTTTTGAAAGAAAGAACAAAGATAGAAAAAAAGTGACGGCCTACGTTCACTGGTAATGTCTTGCTCTGTGATACTGTTAGACAATCAGGCACATTCATTCTTTCTTCACGCAGGAATTTCTTGACAAAAACACACATGTTTTTAGCTGAAATACCATGCATCTCTACGTAGAGGGGAGCTAGAGAAAAAGAGACGGTCTACGTCGAATCCGTTTTTCGTGTGCTTTCTAATGGTATATAATGGTATATCGACTGTTGGGTGAAAAACTTGTGGCTTTCCAAAAATGAGGTGGAGATATTCAATACTAACTTGCTCCACGCTCCGACTTTATATGGATCGCGGGAGCAGAACTTTTTTGGACTGGGAAAACTTTGTGCACCAACACTTTCGATAGCTAAGAACACGAGGAATCGATGTTGACCGTCTCTTTAATGCTAGCTTCTCTATGAAGCGAGATGCGAGCAGTTTTATCTAGCTACAATATCAGTCAAATTTGGGTAATTATTTTTTCAAACCAAAAAAGTATTTTTTGAACTTTTATATATGATTCGAAAGCTTGAGAAACGAGTAATCTGAATGCTTTTTTATTTATTATTATTCTTTCTAGTGAAAGGAGATATTGGTACGATTATTGTCAGCGAACATGCATCCATCACTAAGTAGTCCAAATTTCCTACTCTTGCTTAACTCTTTCTTGAGACAATGTGTATTCATTGATACAATGTTAATTATTCAAAAAGTTAAACAACCTTTTGATTTTTGATTATGTTTCGCTGGCAACGCTACTTTGAGTGCGCAGAAGGTCTCGAGCACGCGTTTTTTCAACAAAACGCTGTTGAATTGGTAATCTCTTGCAGTCTTGATGTCTGAGAAGAAGGGCAGTTGGCGTTTCCTTTCTAAACAAAAAGTGTCATTGTAAGAGCTGTTGATTCTGCCGTTATGCCTTGATTCTAGTCTCAACCTCAGGTGGTCAGCCAGATGCCCTAAAGTGAAGGCGGTCAGAGAAATTTCTCCACCTATCCATCTATGCCCGAAAACGACTGAAGTAGCACTAATTACATTAGAAATCGTGGCATTCCGCTTAGGTTGAGTGGATTGGAGCAAAGTGGTATATTTGAAATCAAACAATTCGTACCCTGGTTTTCTAATGCCCGCATGCACGTACATCCCCGCTGGGGAGGGGAGGGGATCTGAGAGGGGATGCATCATTTCTCGCTACTCTAGGTATCTTTCTTCTTCCTTCTCTATCTTGCTTATGAAGGTTCTCATACCTTAATACCTGCGCATAATCGATTCCAGGATACTGGCATAAGTGATTAGATTTTCACTAATTTGTGTGATCCCCTGGGGATCCCCAGAGGATCACCTCTCAATTTCAATGCCATTTATCTTCCTGAAAACTCAATGAAAGCGCTGTAAAATTGTACTGTGGATATACTACGGTACTGCCAAGGATGTTTATAGTAGAAATAAGTGAAATCTCAAGATATCGAAGTCTTCGGTAATTCCTAGCTCACGAGCTAGGAATCATCGAAAATTAACAAATTTCAGATTCCATTTTTTCTGTCGAAAACATGCTTAGCAGGGCCGTAGTATGTCCTCAGTACAATTTTGCAGCATTTTCATTGGCGTTATAAGCAAAATAGAGAAGAAGAAGAAAGATACGTAGAGTAGCGAGATATAACGCATTCCCTCTCAGATCCCCTTCCCTCCCCAGCGGGGATGTACGTGCATATGGGCCAAAGTCGAAAAAAGGTTAAAATGTGGTAGAAAAAGTCACTGGATTCATCAGTCGACTTGGAAAAGTTTGTAGTACTTTCAGCTTGCCATCTTATTTTGTGTAGCTATCGACCTTCATGACCCGGATTTGCTGTGAACTTGTCATCTTGATAACTTTGTTCTTGAATTACGGGATCCAAGCTACTTCAAAAATGTGATATTTCGGCGGAAAGGGAGTCAATCTCATACATCGCTTTTCTTGTTGGTAGATATTTGTCTGTAGAAGGTAAGAACAAAAACTCATGCAAAACTGTATCACATATCAAAGTAGATTATGAAAGCGAAGTGAGCATCATTAGCTACAGCTGGGACAAAATTCTGTGATGCCATGTCTTTGCGGCCTTTTTCCAGCAGCACCCCCTAAAAGACGATCAGTTCACGTAGCAGTAAGGGAAGGGCAATGCTTCTTCGCGAAAGATCTAAAAAACTATCAAAAATGAAATTAGCTATCGCCAAAATAGATATTGTGAGGAGTTTAAATCATTATCTAGAGATTTTGGTTTACCATTCATTAGAGTTTAGAGCACTAGTTCAATTTTCAAGCTAGCCTTTGGCAAAATGTATGAAAATGTTTGTTTTCAATAAAATTCGATGTATCTGAAATACAATTTCCATCCTTACCGAAAAACTTTTTAGGAAGGTTTGTCGCTTTCCCTCTTTTTTTGAGGAATGGGTGAAAAATAAGCGTGAGAGAATGGTCTATTTTGACCCAAACTCCGCGTTGCCCGTCTCCCTCGACTCAATAGGCGTTATCTGCGTTGTACTGACTCTATTTGGAATTAATCGTAAGAAAATAATGTCAGTGAATGGAAGCTCGTAAGGTGCAATCAGTTTGAAGATTTATCTATGTACATACAACCAATACTCGCATACCTATCTCCGTTGCAGTACTGTCTTGTTCTTTCAATTTCATTTTTGTCTATTCTTTTTAACTTTCAAAAGAAGTTACAATTAAAGTCCTGCGAAATTGCTGACATTCCATAGTACTGCGGAACCACTGGTTTACTGACAACTTGCGGAGCGTTTTGTGAAGAGTGCTTCAAAAGTTCCCTGTCAACCAATCTGAAGTAAAATTCCTGCTGAAATTGCACTTCCACTTTCACAGTAAACAAAATCCTGCGGAACAGCTGCCAATTTTGCTTGTCTTGTGAGTCTGAGATGCTCAACAATCGCTCCATAGTCTATTGATATCGTTCAAATGCCATTATACAGACGCGTCCATACATGGGAGGCATACGGAGAGTATTAATATAATTTCTTCTGTAAAACTGCCACGTATTTCAGAAGTGTTGTGCAACCGCACAAAAAGCCAGCGTCTGAGAAGAATGAACAAATATGTTGATCTGTTGTTTATGATATGTGATATAGTTGTGTGTACTATATATAGGCACTCTTTAGTAAGTATAGTTCATTCTTAGTTCCTTGTCGTCAAGTAAAGAACTCGGTCTCAAATCGTTCTTCCTTCACACGCCATGGCAAACACAACAACTGGCGATCGGACCCCGAACCCGAGCCCGAACCCGACTCCCAACATGAACCCAACCCACATTCTGATGCTGCAAATCATGGAGCTGCGGAAAGAAGTAAAGAAGAAACAAGGATCCAGCGAGGATTACGTGATGAATGCATTCGCTACTCGTCTACCAGAATTCAATCAGGACCCGAAGTCAAGCTCGGACACGGACACGATCCACCTTCTAATGAAGCAAATCATGGAACTGTGGAAGTCTTGTCGAGAACCTAAGGTTGAACTGACGAAGCAAGAATCCAACGAAGAGTACAAAGACTACTTGGAACTGCAGAATCACATACAGATGATCGACAAAGCCAAGGTACCTCAGGTCAGCGTGAATCAGATGAATGAGAACCCGCAAGTCAACGCGATGAAGCGGAAGCCATTCATCGGTCACAAGCCCAGAACACATCTTTGTATGAACTGCGGAGCGAAGACCCATAGGACCAGGAAGTGCGAGAAGCCGATCACTGAATGCAACTACTGCAAGAGGCGTGGACATCTAGAGAGGTACTGTCTGCGTAAACTATTTGTCGATGAAGCCAAGGACGTCCATCCTGTCGTCATCTCACCGTCTAAAGAAACGAAGTCGTACTGCAATGTGAAAACCAACAACACAAGTATCGAGTTACGACTTGACTGTGGAGTTGAAGATCGCGACACATGGATCAAGACTGGCCGACACAAACTAAAGAACCCAGAACATAATTCGACTGCTGCTAATGGGACCAGCATTACATGCCATGGACACGGCACATGTGAGCATGCGCTAAATGGCATCGCCTTGAATGGTACCACAAATTTACTTGATGGACCAGCTCTACTTCAAGTGCATTGGAACCAGAGCGACTGTGCCTTTCACATTGATATCGGCTGTCAGACTTTGAATGCAGTGACCGCCACGAACGATACACTCGACAAGAAGCAAACTCACCTGACAATACAGTTCGCAGAAGTGTTTCAACCCAAAACAGAAGACGGCATGAAAGCAACGGCTGCCTTTGCGCTCGAAAAAGAGGATGAAAGCAAAATATTCGGCAAAACTCATTCAAAGTCCACTCAATATGGAAATGTGGAGGTACCTGTTTTTTATGATATTACTCAATTCAGGAGAGCCGAATTTCGCGATTCTGGAAAAACCCGACAAGTTCGACATACTCGTCATCAGCAGTTCAATGAAGAGCCCGAAAGAATCGTCGACAACTTCCAGTGCCTGATATTCAAGCCGAAAAGGGAGGAGACGTCAGCCGCAATGCAAAAGTTCCCGATGCACTGTCGCGATATATCAAGTCCAACTTTGGATGACTTCTCTTTTGGTGAGATGTTCACTAAATATGAAGTTCACATCGCTCCAGGTCCACTGTACTCGGCTGACGAGAAACATAGTGTGCGACGTAAGAAGATGAAATATCAACTCAGTCCTCAGCGCGGGAAAGACCCACCGTTTCGCTTAGAGGGGGAGGTGTTGTGCAACCGCACAAAAAGCCAGCGTCTGAGAAGAATGAACAAATATGTTGATCTGTTGTTTATGATATGTGATATAGTTGTATGTACTATATATAGGCACTCTTTAGTAAGTATAGTTCATTCTTAGTTCCTTGTCGTCAAGTAAAGAACTCGGTCTCAAATCGTTCTTCCTTCACACGCCATGGCAAACACAACAAGAAGCGATTTCCTCTAACTCCAAAAAAATTATCTAAAACCGCTGCACTTTGTTGATAACGATTTTAAAGAGCTATCACTGCAAGCCTCCAGAAAAAACCTTCAACTAATTGGGAAAAACTGTGACCAATCATTGAGCCTTGCAAACATATATCATACCGGGTTAGAAAACAGGAGAAGAAAGTGCTTGCGCTTCATGGTCTGTGAATAATGGCCAGGATCCTTTGACAAGTCCATGGAGCCAAAAATACAACTATGGGAGTGAATCAATGTGAAGTAAGATAGGGATGCAGAAGATCTCCAAGTGTAGGTGCTTTTTTGTGTACTTCTTGCTCTCTACGGCTCGGGCGGACGTCAGACGGCAAGTTTTTTCTCCAAACGCTGCCGACCTTGCCTTGAGATGGCTGTTCCTAGCTGCTTAGCATTATTCCGAAGCGAGTTATGGGCTTGCTGTTGTGATTAATCAACAAACTTCCGAATGTTGTAAAAAGGCGTGTAGATAAGAATCTGCTCGATAAAAGTTCTAGGATGTTGAATCAGCGTCAGATTAAATCTTTCGCTCTTGAAAGGGAACATTATACAATTGCAAAGCCACCTAGACGTCGACACCATGGCATCAGTAGGTTGAAAAGCATGCAAACTTTATATAGAAAGGAGACCATAACTCGCTTCAGAATAAAGCGCAGCTAGGAACAGCATATTTGAAATCAGCGTTCCAAGCTGATTCCAAAAATATGTGTATCAACTCAAAAGGCGAATCTAAGTTAGTATCCTTCCCTTGTAAGTAAAGTCTTTTCCGCAATGCTAATTATCCAAGAAATTTTCTTCTACGAAAATATGATTTAATGCATCTTGTGCGTTTAGTTTGAGTAAAAAATGTTTATGAATGTTAAAAGCAGTGTCCGAGCAAAAACTCGATTTCTAGAAAATCCACTTACCTGGGGTTATCCGCAACGCTATATCCGAAAATCCACATTGGAAAGCGCGAAAACGGCGAGAACATATCTTTTCCAAAGCCGCACAATTGGAAATTCGACGGTCTTCAAAAAGGCAGAGACGCAGAGTCGCTGCGGGACCCTACATTTTAATTGTGGCGGCATGCGTACTCTACTCTGCTGCATAGCAGGAATTTGGAGAGCTCGGAGAACCCCGCCCCAAGGCGTAAGTTTGCTCACTTTCCTGACGTTCTTCTTGCTTTAGGTCGAGCGTTATGACGTCGCACTTGCGCGATATAGTGTATGACAAGGGAAGTTCACTTAGTCGAAGTGGCGATTTGAAAAGAGATCTATACCGGTGGATAGAGCTTAAAACCAGGGTAAAGCGGGGGGTGCGGCACGCCGCACCGGGGGGGGGGGGTCGTATTGAGGAGTCAAAAGGAGAGGGGGTCGTAGTTGGGTAATCTGATAATAGTGATAACATGATATTCGTATCATATCCATAAAATTAGCATGTCAATTAACCCCTGCAGACAAAGTGTGAGCGAATTCTGAAGATTCAAGATACTAGGCTACCTAAGTGAATTGGTTAAATTCCAACATGGTTAACTTTGTTTCAAAGGCGAATTAGCTATCCGTTTTTGCACTCAAGACAAAGCACTACTCCTTCTTTGTCCACCTCAGGAATCCCGCTTCAGAAGACCTCCAAACTGTGGAATTAGAAGCCAACCAAAATCTCATTTTTCCCATTTTTCGCTTTTAATGGCTATGCTTTCACCAAATATCACTCAGAGCAAAGAAAACGAATCAGGTTCAAATCGCTCCTGTGAAAACTGGGACATCTAGGCTATCGATTCATATGAATAACGTTCGCTAAAAATGTTTTTTTGATAAAGTTAATGGGGTGCGGCACACTATATCTGCGATGCATTGTCCTGAAAAAAGTTATGAGCTTTTCTAAAGCCAAATTTTCGTGCCTTTTGAGTCGCAAAATCGTGATAATTTCTACACAAAAGTGTGCAAGCTTGAGCAAACCACCTAGTAAGCATTGTAGGTCTAATTCAAGCTCATCCGAACGGTTCCGAGTGTGTTCCGACCATGTTGTTTATCTAAAGGTCGCCGTTTTTCCTTCCTAGATCACACTTCCATTATGTATACAAAAAAGCTCATAACCTCCATCTGGAAGAACGCGTCGCAGATATTGAAGATATATTTGAGAACATCGTTTTACGCATTTTATTCACTAGTAATTTCCAAAAAGTTTCCGACGCGACGAGTTTTTCTAGATGGAGGTTATAGGACTTTTTTGTATATATAATGGAAGTGTGATCTAGGAATGAAATAACGAATGTGGATGAACAACATGGTCGAAAAACACTCGAGCGTTTGGATGAACTCGAATTAGACCTACAATGCTTACAGGTGGTTTGCTTAAGCTTGCACACTTTTGCATAGAGATTATCTTGCTTTTGCGACTCAAAATGCACGAAAATTTGGCTTTAGAAAAGCTCCTAACTTTTTTAGAACAATGCATCGCAGATATAAAAGGTATATCTGAGATCAGCTTTTTAAGCTCCATCCATTGGTGTAGATCTCCTTCCGAATCGCCGCTTCGACTAAGTGAACTTCCCTTGTGAGGGGGGCCCACTCTTGTATGGCACTGAAATCCCAGAACCCCTATCATACCCTGATATTGCCTTCAAGCAAACCTTTTTATCACAAATGCGACGCTGTCCCCATCGTGTTCAGCAACTCAAAAGCTCGCAGACTTCATTTAATCAATCCTTCTATGCTTCACACAGCTGATTCATAATAACACCTTGGATAGTCTTTAATTTCGAATAGAAGGCAGCTTACTTAAGCTTAGAATTTTCTGAGAAAATGGAAGATCTGAATGAGTTCTCTGACTTTACCCCGTCTTCGTCAGGTGGCACCTGTTTGGCTCAGTTTAAACATGTCTTGCTCACGTCATCCCAACAGTTAGGTACTTCGAATTTTCCATGCCCACAGCGTTCAACTATTTTCTAGCGCCTGGTGAATCGTCAGTGCAGATGGTCGGGATGAAACAGTTATTATGGTGTGTTCCTGTTGACTTTGAGTTTCAATGCTCTTCTTTTTCCTTTACTTTGCATTCTATGCTACCAAATACCAAAACGTCATTCCTGCTTCGCAGAACTCGCACTAGCCATTATGAAACGTGTCAATATACTCACGTAGTGGTACTTTTTTCAATCATTATTTGAGTGACCACCATGTAAGTAAAGCAAAACAAAGATGTGATTCTCTTGTTATGCAACACTTTCACATGCCTCAAAGCATGGTAAATCATTCTCCATTGTATTTTCGTTTCAGACAAACTCCACAAACTGACGATTAGCTCTTCTCAAAAGGCGTAAGTCTTGGAATCATTCATTCTATGACTAGGAGACGCGAGACCGCATTGCACACGTTGGCTAAACAAGCTTAATCGTGTACTAGCAATCTATACTTGTCATTTATCTCGTCCAAGTTTATTCGTTCTTTGGGAACAGGAAAGAACAAACTCATACATGTTAAGACAATGTCCACAATGCGGTCACGTGTCTCCTGGTCATAGAATAGATGATATGTCTTTATGCTTCCTAGTAGTGCTTGCATAATGATGGCTTTGAAACTGACCGCGCAATGCTGACCGTCGCAAATAAATTGTAAACAATCAATCATTACGCTTTTTTGTATGATTGGGCATGATTGAACAACTTTTTTTTCTTCGAGATGAAAGAACAAACACGATTATGGAAGTCGAGCGAAACCAAGACTAGCATCATGACTTATAATAA